CTAAATTATATATAGCTACACACAACATGCCTACATAGTTATTAAGCTGGAATACTCTTCTTTTTTTCTTTCTTCTTTTTAAGGAACGATGGGGTTCTAATTCCTTTCTTCTTCTTTTTTTTGTCCTTGTGTGAAGAATCCTCGGTGGACATTTCTTTAGTGGGTGATCCCTGTTATATATTTAAACAAAATTGTTTTTATTGACTTAACCTTAGTTGACCACAAAAATATTTATAATATTACCTCTTTACTACTTGAAAATGTGCTTTGATGAGCATCTGATTGGTCACCATTGTATGTATTTTCTCCTATAAATTATATATAAAGTAAAATATACATTATATATTCATATTTCAATAAAAATGTAAGAACAACAACTTCTAACTAATTTTTAGTAATTCACATAAAATGTATTTATTTGATTATTAATGGTAACAATCTGAGGAAGTACAAAACATAAAGGTGTTTGGTAAAAAGAGTTGCAACATGATTTCTGCCTGCAAAATAAGCATGCAAATTGGTTTTTTATCCTCATTTAAGGAAGCTGTGATTTCTAATTATTGTGTTTATTAGGAATCGCGGTAAAAAAGTCCACCGTAGATAAGACCTAAGCCTAAAAAGTCCGGTGTAAAAATTACGGTATATTATGTTATATGCATAACAATATTTAAAATAATTTATTAAAAAAAAAAATTCAATGATTATAATTATGTACTTAGTATGATAACCCATATAAAAAATTGAAATAATTATTACACACAAATAAAATGTACATAATATAATATAATGATTTCTTAATTAAATTGAGTATTAACATTCTTCATATAAAATTTAATATATTTAAAAAAAAAATCAATGATCATAATAATTATGTACTCAGTATCATTACCTATACAAAAAAATTGAGATAATATAATAAATGAGTATTAACTATCGCCATACAAAATATTATATATTTAACAAAAAAATTTGATAATAATAATATTTTCTAGTATTATGACTTATCAGTTTAATTAACTAACTGTCATCAAAAAAATAAAATTAAAAAAAAAATTTATTTTGTTAGGTAGGTATATAATTTAGTTACAACAAAATGTATATTAATAGGTACTAATATTGGAAGTTTGATTGTGCATCACATGTTATTTTTCCTTTTACCTAATTATATGTAACCGACTTTTTATGTTTCGGACTTTTTCACAGTTGACTTTTTATACCTAGGACTTTTTGGTAATGTACCGTTTATTAGGTATCTTATTTTTTACGATCAACACAGAAAAAACCAATGTTTAACACTAAATTCCCTAGAATTTCCCCTACAGATTTAAAAAAAAACAAAGTAATCTGAAAATACCATGAAATAAGGTTCTTGCAAGAAATACGAATAGCTTTTAAATGTTAAAGGAAGATCTTCCTGAACCCAAATTCTGCAAAATAATTTAATCAAAAACATTAGAAAAACAACCATACTGCAGGAAAATCTGGACGAGTATCTTAAGCCCCAAGCCAAAATGTCAACAACCAATGTCAACTAAAAAATATAAATATATCAAAGGTTTAACATAAAATACATTATATATGATAATTAACTATTGGATTACAATGCAAGTTGAATATATGATTTGTATTTTGTTATTTATTGTTTATATGAAATATGAAACAAAAACACAATATAATAAAATAATAAAGAAATTTTAATATCAAAATTGTTGTCTACAAAATATGTTAAGTTATTTAAAAAATAAAAATTCAATTACTAAAAATTGATTTGTAACAATTACATATAAATAATTAAGTTAAAAAAAAAAAAAAATTATAGCAAAGATTTAAAACTGAATGTGTTTAATATAATTAAATAATAAGTAAATCTATTGATAAAATTAAATTTCTTCGGATTATTTATTTTAACAATTTTGCATGATTTAATAACATTAATAATGATAAGAGGTAATGGCAAAATCAAAACAGGTTTTATATGTGCTGTTATTTTAAAAGTACAATTGAGCAAAAATCAAATACATTATCATCAATATTCACAAGAATTTGACATTGGAGGAACTTAATTTGCATTTACTTGATACATGTTCACTTTTTTCACAAATTTCTTGAATGTTTATCTTATTAGCAGTAGATGGTAATGTAATCCACATAGGTTTAATAGTAGTTTCTGAATAATCGCTAATATCATACTCATCTTGTACTAGTTATTGAATACATAAATTGAAATTAAAATACATGACATGTACTAAAAGATAGAGCATACGTTTTGAAAACCAATTTAATTTTGATAATATTCTATATCATTTTAATTTAATAGTTTTTAAATATTATTCAACATCATTATCTTTTATGCAACTTCAAAATATCCACTAAAATACATCCTAAAACACTCTTTTAATAAATCTTAATAGAGTTATTTATTATAAAAGTTATAAAATCAAAGATATTAAAATACTTTCAGAGAACGTTGCACCCGTATGTGTCTCTCAGTCTTACAAATGTACAATATAGCAAAAACTCTATTGCACGGGAAAGAGCCGAGAACGCTACAGTCATAACTAAGAAACAAAATTTTCACCACATAAAAAAGAGAACTATGGCTGTGCAATATCGTTTTATTTTTTCGTTATCGGTACTTCAACAAAAGTTATTAAAGTTTGAAAAACACAAATAAATAATGGAGTTTGAAACAATAAGAACTTTTTTCATATAAGTGATATCAAAAAAATGAAAACGATATTGTACAGCCATAGTGTTCTCTTTTACATGTGGTGAAAATTTCGTTTCTTAGTTATAACTGTAGCCTTCTCGGTTCTTCCCTGAGGAATAAACGTTTTTGCTATGCCATACATGTGGTGTAAGACGGATACAACATATGCGGATGCGACGTCCTCCTAATTAGTTCCAATAAACAAGGTTAAATAGATATTTAACTACAAATTTTATAAATAGATAGTGAAAGAAATAAACCTACATTTACTCCATTATAATTGAGCAATATCATACCATTTAAGGAACATATATTTTTAATTCTAATGATGTAACACTTAAAAATGATACATTTGGAATACTTAAAAAAAAAATATGTTATATTCAAGCTCATGAAAAGTGAGCGTTGATTCCAGCACACTCGGTGGAAAATTCATATTATAGTCGGCAACAAGAAAACTGGTGGATGATTTTATTGCATCCAGTGGTGTGTTTTTGTTTGGTCTATTTTAATAGACCAAACAAAAACAAACCAGTGTTGGAGCTAATATCATCCGCCAGTTTTCGTGTCAAACACATAGGAGCTTTTTTTTAAAAATTGAAATGTAGACTACTGACTATTGTATTCAAATACTGTATACTCTACCCAACAGCTGTAAACATAAGTCCCTTCTAAAGTATTTGTAAAAATATATTATAGGTATGACTCATGAGGCAGTCAGCGCGGGGCGGATTCCAAAAATAATTTTACTCCACCCATCAGCTGAAAGTGTTTAGTTTCCATGAGCCCGACCATAACTAAATACTTCAGTCATTTTTAATAAGATTTTTAAGTTCATATTTTACTATTTTTTTAGTGGATATTCTATCAAGAAACTGAATTGAGGTATTGGATTTTTAATTATAATTATCCAAGGCTGGGAATTAACAAGTTAAAAAGTTAAAGTTAATTTTATTATAACTTTTTAACTTAACTAGTTATTTTTTTCTTTTGGCTAAAGTTCTTTTATAAATAACGTGAAATTAACGAATACATTTTTCATTTTTTTAAGTTAAGTTAATTTTTTTGTTTTTAGTTCTATTATATTTCAATATTTCAATCTATTTGGTTTTCATGTCAAAAAATATTTACCGTGAATAGTTTACAGTTAAAAAATTATATCATTCGAATCTAACTTATATGGAAATATCGCATAAAGTATAAACACTAGTCTATAATTTAGTTTTGGGTTGGAAAAAAAATGAAGTACGTAGCGGTTTTAAACAAATTAACTTTTTTTTAACTTAATAAAAAGTATGTATTAATTTTTAACTTAACTGAGTTAAAAAAAATCACCCAGCCTTGTAATTATCTTACAAATGTTATATAATTAATTAACAATACCTTCACTTAGAACAAATTCAGCTTGGTCGGGTTTCAGCACTGATTTTCTTTCTACTTGCAACACTCTAGCTTCTGAAAAATTATTATCAACACAATGAATTAATCCTTTAATTCTTCAACATTTTCAATTTTACTTATTTTATTTTATTGTACTACCTGCTCTACTATCATCTTCAGTTTCACTAATTATAAATGCTTCAGTTTGCCTGGCAGGTGAAAAGTGAACACTATCCAATTGTTCTTTAATATCAATTATTTGATCCTTGTCTATGAGTTAAAAAAAAGAACTATCAATAAATAATCGTTACACAATCTATACACTAAAACTGAATTTAATTAAAATATTAACCAAGTGTACTCCTTTCAACGGCATTTTTATAATACTCTATTTCTTCATCAGTGACAGCATCAAATGGGTTCTTTGCATAAGGTGTCTTATAAACAGTTGCATTATGTTGGAAATTACGTTGTATTATTCCTTTTGATGCAGCACCCACCAAAATAACTTGATCGCTGTTTGTGTTTAAGTTAGCATCCTAAGTTAAAAACACTGTTAGTTGCAAGTATACCTAAACATATTTTGTTTTGCCTAATGTATATTATATTAAACTAATACTTGTAATTTTTTTGCTTCTTCCCAAGAAACACCATCTAAAATTTGGGATTGGGGCCCTGATGTAATTTTATCAGCTCTTCGGTTTTCTTTAATCTTCAGAATAAAAGAAAGGTTTAAGTATTACTTATTTTTACAAATAAAATAATTGTATTTACTTGCTGCTGTAGTTTTTTGAACTCTTTTGGATTAGTGTTTTTTGGAACAAATTGTAGAGGTCCTTCTATTTTAAAAGGCGTACTTGAATTTGGAGAAGCGTCAGATACCCACTAAAAAATTATTACTATTTTTTAAAATTTAAGTATTATAATTAACATTAGTTTTAAATATATTAGAAATAATATTAATCTCTTTATATTATTTTTTATATAATTATTAATATATTTCAAACAATATCAAATTAATTTGAACTATTTTCCAAAAATAAAATTATTAGTAAACAAATTGTTACAGAAACTAATTTTATGTGTAAAGCAGCATATTATGTTGAAAAACATACTCTAAAACACAACTATAATATTGAATGTGTATATTCTTTTTTAGAGGTATGCATAAAAAACACAATTTTATTCAAGCATAATTTATTTTGTAAGTTAATAGTAACTTAAAAATAAGACAGTAATGGCCTCTATGCTCATATATTATATATAAGTATATTGAACGGTACACACAATTACATTTACAGTGATATAGTGACTAATATAGATCAGAAAGAAAAGAAAAGAAAATGTTTTATTATCTAAGATGACCACTAAAAACATTTGACACGATGATTGAGCAACACAACACAATCCAATGTTTTTATTGCAATTTTGAGTTTGTTATCAAGTCACACCAGAGAGAGGAAGAAAAAACAATAGTAGATATAAAAACTCCTAATTTATACCATTGATACTAATCAATACGTCATAACTAATTATCTAAAACATAATTGTATTTATTTAGTACAGATTAACAAGAATACTTTAGTGTGTGTAACACAATAGGTAACCTAACGTTACAATATTATATAGTTTGATTTATAAACCATATTTTTACTTAGTAAATACCATATGAAAGACCCAAACTAGTAAATCTTGAAACAAAAATAAATGTGTAGTTATTTATTGGCATAATTAAATGATTTGAATTTACATTTTCAAAATTATATAAATATATTTCTATGATTCGATTACAATATAGTATAAATTGGTAGCAAAACGAAAATTATTACAGAAATTGTCAAAAGCACTTAAACTAAGTGTAATTAAGTTTTGATAAGCCCAAAATTAAGGTGTGATAAAATATAATCATAAAATCAAATGTAATTAAAATTAGGCTCTTAGTCTAATAACAATGTAAAAATGTTCAGACACAACACTACTGTTGTTAGAAGTGATAACATTTGACATTAAAATAGTATAAATAAATGTATAAATTATAATTAAAATATTACTTTGGGTTAATTTCATAAATTATAAAAACCAAAATTAAATAAAAAGTTACTCATTAAAATCGAGGTTAACCGAATACATAATTAATTTTTGGTGTCTACCTTAGTGATTTTTTTAGGATCTGTTGTTCCAGTTTCAAGAACTTCCACTTTTTGGTACACATTTGGCGAATTTAACCATTTGGTTCTATCAGTTGATTTTCGGCCATCATAATATTTTTTCCATTGCCTAATTAAAATAAATGATTTTACAATATATTATTATATACAGCAAATAAATACAAAATTTAACTTACCCATTTTTATATAGCTCTTCTTCTTCTAATAAATATCCAAGAGAAGAAACTGCTGGTGGTACCTCGACATCATTACGAGGGCGGGGAGGTTCACCTTTGATAAGTGGTTGTCTGTATATATAACCTGTACGGAAACCCTATGAAATAAATTAATATTAAATTAATAAAACTGTTTTTTCTATGAACATACATGTATTTGATGAATAAAAATGAGTTTAAACAATTCATTCTCTTGGCTTTTTAATTTGTACTAAATACTAACATTCCTATAATTTCACCAGTCTCCATTTTTATAATAAAAATTAACTTTTCAAAAACTTGATTGTCAGTTATGGTCAAACTTTAAAATAATAATAAGTCAAAATCAAAGTGAGATAATAAAAACCCATTACTCTGCAGCTTAAAAATAATCCATTTTAAAACTTGATAATTTTTTTATTTCTATCGAATTTATTGAATTTATATTTGTATTTTAAATATTAAACTAAAAGGCAAAACACTTATAAATAAAACAAATATATAATTATTGATAAAAAACATAAATTAATTGAACGTTATTAAACTAGATGAGTGATTTTAAATGAAATGTTTAATTAATTGTTAATAAACACTGCCTTAGCCAATCTTTATCATAATTTAGTAAGTTATAATTATTTATTCGAGGACATACTGCATTGTCTAGCATTCTCATAAGTGCTTCAAATTGAAGACCTCCAACTCTCCAGCGTTTATCTGCAACAGCTCCTCCTGCAGGTAATGGAGAAGGTAATGTACCCTCTGGTGGAGACCTAGCAGCATCGTAAATAAATTTGCACTGTTCGTCAGTCATTTGCATAATGTTATCTAATCCCACAGGTAATACTTTAAGCTGAAATTTAATAAAGAATTTACAAATAAATTATAATAAAACAACTAACTTTTACTAATAAATGTACCTGTGTTTCACAAGCTGTAACAATATTATACGCATTATAAAATGCTTCTTCTATTGATTCACCACAACAAACTGCACCATGATTAGTGAAAAATATAACCTAAACAACAAATATTAAATTTACAGAAATAATTTTGTTATGTTAACATTGTTAATTTAAAGTTAACTTCTCAAGCCTAGTAAATAAAGAACTCTTTGGAAACAATGAAAAGAATATCAGATAAATAATTATGACATAACCATGTAAATATAAATTTGTGGATAGATAAATAAAAAAGATTAAATGTTAAACATTTAATACCTTATTAATAGGCCCTAAGCTTCTTGCAATTTTGTCTTTTTCATCTGGATCTACAGTAGATCCTGGGTATGCATAATGTGAGACATCCCCAATCAATGCACTTTCTTTACTTATGTGCAATAAGCCACAACGTAATGATGACACGGCCAAAACAGGTCCCCTGCATATAAATAATTAAGAATTAGTTTGTGGAATTTAACATTAATTAGAAAAAGTGACTTACACTTGTACATCGATGATAGCTTTCAAATCAGGCCTTGCTGCATAAATAGCAGCATGAAGTTGAAATGCTGTTATGTTTACACCATAATTAGTAGTCCCAGGCTCCATAACATTTCCTTGCATGTCCACTTTAATTAAACTAGAAGCTGTCACTTCGTTACATAACAGACCATAAGGGCTGACTAAAAAATGTTCTTCTTCTTGATTTAGTCGAGCCTAAAAATAAATTACCATCAATGTTTGAAATACGATAATAAATAACTAAAATGGTATACTTTTTAAAAAAAAACCTAAACAGACAATATTCAAACTTTTCATTAAAAACATTTATTTTAGGTACTATTGCTAATTTTATTAAGCTTGAATAAAAAATTGCTACATTTAATTAGCCATGGTAATAAAACTTATAATTACAGAAACTTGGTTATAGATTCCTTGGGTCCAGCCATATAAATCCATTAATCTGAATACTGCTGCTAATTTGCATCTGATAATTTTTTCTCCTTTGGCATATCCCATACTTTCTACTCCACGAATATCATTAATTGGAACCACACAATTTGAAGCTACAATCAAAATTTAATTTTAATATAAGCATAAATAATGTTAATTATTAGCATGAAAAAATTCTTTTTTTTTTTAACAAAATATACATCATACTCACATTTAGAACCTCCTGATGGACGCCCACCCATCATTTCTGAAATTTGTTGTAAAAGCCCAGCAGGAACAGAACCACCGTCTTTCATTTGCACTTCAATTATTCTTTCCAGTTCTTCGCGAAACAAACGTGAATTCATAATCATTTCTACTCTTTTCCGTCGTTCCATTTCTCTAACATCCTACAATATTACAATAAGCAACCATAAATTAAATATTTAACATAATCTCAATATAACTGACAACATTTTTATTTTACTTACAGCATCAATATCTGCTGGTCTCATTTTTCCACGTTCATCATCATCATCATTGGTATTTGCATATCCATTGCTCTGGGGTGGTTCAGCTTCTATTTCAGCCATATCTTTAGTATTAAAAATTACTTAACCTATTAAAACAAAAAATATATAGGTAATGCGTATAATTATATGACTACACAAGTTCATCCTTAACCATTTTTCTGCTTTAAGTTTGTTGTATAACATTATTATTACTTAACAATATTTTAATTGTATACCTAGCATTTAGATATTTAATATTGTATTCATATATTGTTAAATTAACATGTATTTACAGTTTCACAGAAGTTTTACATACCTATTTAACTTTATTTTAAATGTATTAAGATTGCTAAATAAACTGACTTTTTTATACAAATTAAAATATTATTTTAGTAGATTTAAGTTAAAATTAAATATGTGCTTTGTAATTGAAAGTATTAAAAGTAAATTTAGCTTTTATATTAATAAAATATGTACATTTATTTAATACATAATTTGTCATAAGAACAAGTACATAGGTATTTATAATAGGTATAAGTTAGACAAAATTCCAACTTATATATGAATACTAATATTGATCTGATACAGATGATATTATCATATTGGGGTCAGATAGTCAAGAAGTAAAAATGGGTACGAAGAATGAACTTAAGACCAATTTAATATCTAGACGAGAAAATCATGGAAAACATTAAGAATTTGAGAGAATACAGTTTTAAATACTTTGGAGTTACAATAAATAGCAAAAATAATAATTATGAATAAATTAAAATAAGAACAATTGCAGCTAACAAATATATAATATATATAATGGATTAACAAGTATCACTTAAATCAAAATGGTTAAATGTTAAATGTTAAATCAACATGGTAGTTATCAGACCAATTTGTTTGTATGAGTGTGAAACATGGCATACAACCAAAGGAGATGAAGACAAAATAGCAATCCTTGAAAGAAGAATAGAAGAAAATTGAGGAAAATATTAGTAATACTTAATATAATATATTTTTTTTTTCATGATGTACCTACATAGTTTTAATCGAGGTTTTAATTTACACATAAAATAGCATATCTGGCCCGGTCTTGGCCTCTCAATTTAAGGAAAGGGTTACCACTGTATTTTTATACGTATTTGTTTCAGTATTAATAGTTCTTAGAAATTTCAATATTTATAATTTATTCCATCATCTAAAAACCTATCAAAAATGGCTAATTAGAATATACTCCACTACTATACTCTATAGTCTATTCCAAATAATATCAGGAGTCGGCGGCTGAGTTGTGTGCATGGGCGTGGCTTTGTTCCGTGGCAGCGCCTGACGTGTAGCCGTAGTGGGGACGGCATCTGGCCAATATGTCTGACCCTCGCCCGACAAAAAATTGGTTGCCGTCGACTCCTGATTTTATTTGGAACAGAGTATAGGTATTTTAATGTCCAAGATAATTGGTATTCAATATATTATGAATAAGGTTATAATAATATATCTATATCTTTGTACTGATAACTAAAGTAAATAGTAGGTAAATCATAAAATAGAAAGTGACCTATTGTGTTTGTTTTTATAATACATTAATGAATGATAATGTTCAATGGAATTACTGATATTTAGGAAATGCTAATATATCATTATTATAGTTTGACCTTAATAGTGTATAATCATATAATTTTCATTATTATTGTCTACCTCCTAAATAAAAGTAGGTTAGAGTTCTAAATAGGAAACAACTTGTTACTAAAGTACTCAGATGAAATAAGTACCTAATTCATGAGTATACAATTTAAAATAATAACAAATATGTTAAAATTGGCGGTATAATTGCAGTTTAGCTACCACGAGATTTTTTCAAATTTTTTTTTCGAAACCTAGGTAAATCAACGTTTTAAAAATGATGGTGCCAAAAAAAAGTTGCGCAAACTCTTAGTTTTTGAGTTATAACTGTTAGAAATTCAAAAATTCCCAAATTTTGAATTTTGAATTTTGAATTTATTTTGTGGTAGACTTATGTATTTTGACAATCGCCATACAAATCCATCGATAGCACTATCCAAGGGACATAAACGGAGGATATGCCCTTCGTTACACTTTAATGAATTATTCTTACTAATAAGATTCCACTCTTGAAGTTTTTCTATTACTTCGATACTAACGGGCCCCTTTGTTTTGCACGAGAAAAGTTCAAAAATATTTAAAAGATTAAGAGACATGTTTCACAAATAATGCAGACCGCATACTGCCGATTACGGTGATTTCATGGCTTCAAGCCCGACTTAAACGATATAGATAGGTACGAGTTTATGACCTACAATATTTTTATCTTAACACGTTGACTGCCATGCGACCGCCGGCGGCCACATAAAAATAATTACGTATCGATAATTTTTAGGCCGCCGGCTGCCGCACCATATCATTCCTAGGAGGCCATACGGCCGCGGGCTGCCATAAATGAATTTAGATTTATATTATTAGCTTTTCCATGGCGCTACAATAATGAACTGAAAAATGCGCCGTGGCGTAGTGGGAATAATTACAATTTTTTTGATGTAATAAACATATTTTTAATATTTTTTTTGAATTTTTTAGTTAACATACAATTCAATAGTATATATACAAATTTGTAATGACACTGGAAAATTTGCTTGGCGTACCAATGATACATATTATTATGGCCGCTGGCGGCCGCCGGCGGTCGCATGGCAGTCAACATGTTAATGTCTTTTAAATGTTCTTTTACAGACATAATGTTATCTACCTAGTTATCGCCTAACTGGGAATATATGTTGGACAAATATAACCTGAATCCAAATATCGTAAATATAAATGTTTCTGTAATTGGCAAAAAACAACTATGTTTAATTCCGAGGTTCACACAACAAATCGGGGGATATTTTCGATTTGCGGAGCGGAGCGACGGCGCCGAGGAGCGTAGCGACGAGTGCCAATACACTCGTAATCACTGCAACTTTTAACTTTCATAACTTAAAACCGCTATAACTTTCAAACTAAATTCGATCGACAAATTCTGGCCAGACAAAAGAATTATTCAACACCACTTTTGGCAACGGCCTTTATGCTGAAATAGTACTAAATGCAATGTAATGGTTAAAAGGGCACCACTGCAGCGGTGGTGATAGCGATTAAGGCAAAATAAATCCTGACATCGTACAAGTAAAAAGAATTTTACCAACACCACCACATTGTGGGGCGTCCTTTATGACAATGAAAATAGTACATAATGTAATAGTACTTTGTCTTTAACATTTATTTATTTAAGCTTATATTATAATATTTCAATAATACACTTTTAGGAATTTATCAGATTTTGATGCTCAAACCAGTATATTCTTATTCTTGTTCTTTAAACATTTATTAATATTGAATTGTAACTAATTATTTTCGAAGTCAAGGTTATAATTAAATTAATAAAAAAATAAAAATAAAATATTAATGGCAATAATTCTATGGCAGGTACTTCTATAAGTGTGTAAAGCCGGGTTCACAGGTAGATATATCATCTATTCTATTGTGTCCAAAAGTTGAGCTCAGCCCAACTCTGGAAATTTCCTGGTATATCATGGATATTAACATAATCACCAAGGAATACAATAAAAGTCCTACGAGTACATAGCAGCTATGAACCCGGCCCAGCTAAAAAATACTTTGTTTTTTTCATTTATCAGTAACCATGGCAATAAAAACACAACTGACCAATGGACAAAATAAAATGCATGACATTATTTACCTATATTTTGAAATTAATGTTAAGGTTATATATAAAAGTAGTACATAGGTACTTAGGGGCAATTAATAATAAAATATCTAGGTACCAACATAATAATACTCGTAACAATATATTTAAAATTATGAGAGAACACTTGATAAATTATTGTTGAAAATATTTCAAATTGACTTTTAAAGTAGGTACCTAGGTTTACCTACCTAGATTTTATGTATAGATAATTACATAGGTACCATTAACTGATTTATTTATGCAATTTTATTTACCTATGTCAGAATTTTAATCATACACAGAACACCTAATAATTAGAATTAAAATTAAATAAACATAGGTAGGAATAAACCAAATACCTAATTTAATTAATTGTCCCAGACAACTCAACTGACCGTTTTTTGAACTAATAACTGACAGTTAGTCAACAAAAATATTACGTAAGTAACATTAAATTATATTTTATTTTTACTATCAACAGTTAAATAAGCTTTGACCTCATAATATACCTAATCTAAAAAATAATACGAATAATTGGGTAATGTTAAAAACGTATTCATAATCTTTAGTTCATTCTTAATACTTATTAGGTATAGTTTTGTTTTACATGGGTGCCATTGATTACCTAATGTAATTAATATAAATCAATGTTAACACGATATCAGTTTTTAAAAAAAATATAGAGCTAATCGTTATATCGTAATCAAAATATATTATGTTAAGCTACCTACATATCAGCTACTACACTACTACCTAGATAATTATTTATAATATTAGCTGCCTGCCACACATATTTAGATAAAAATGATGTGCATGTTATAATAACCATATTATAATTAGATGTTTATGAAGATGTTTACATACATAAGCTAAATGTTATGATACTTATACATAAAACAATTAAATTCATTGTTAAACAACAATTAGATTTATAATGCACATATTCTCACACGACAGGATTGAGAATATTTTATCATTAATAAAAATAAATTATAGAGTGTACCTATAAACTCAAACTTGTACCTATGTATTTTAATGGTTTGTAAATAATGTAGGTACAAAAGTGTATTGGTAATTCATCATTAGATAATTATTATTTATTATTGTTATTTAAACTATTGGCAATTCATAATACATTTAATGTGTATCTATGTAGGCATCTAATGCTTGAATACTATAACAGCCACTAACCATTATTTTACACTTATGTAATTGAATAGTAAAACAATTAGGATAATTATCTAAGTAAATTATGTAAAATAAAAAGAAAACATTTCAATTGAACGATAGGTAGGTAAAAGAACAATGAGGCAGATGTATAATTTATTCGACATTTAACAACATATCCCGT